CAGAGAACTCGCAGGAGGCGCAGGATTGGGAGCAGTAGCAGCAGCAAAAGACAGAGGGGACTGGGGGTGCCCCCCCCTTGCCATCCAGATGTGCCACTCTCTCCAGGACTCCCAACAGGATGGGCTGACTCAGACTCTGTGAAGGGGAGGGGTAACACTGATGGATGCTCCCACTTCTGCAGCCTCCCTCCTGTCCTCCCCATTAGCTGTTCCCTTGGGTGAAATTCTCCAGATTTTCCCAAACCAGCCACTCCTCCCTTCCCAAAATCTATCACCTCATGCTTTCTAAGCCCTAACTTCCAAGTCTCCCCCAAATTGCCACTAGTGACAACCAGCCCAGGCACGGCCTGAAAAGACCTTGCCCCTAGAGACCTAGAACCCTTTTACCTCAGTCCTGCAAAAAAAGGGCCACTGGCTACAGTTTGAAGCCCCATCTGGACCCCTCTGAGTCTGATGCTCCCAGATTCTCCCCATCTCTTCCCTCCTTCCCAAGGGCCCCATACCAGATGGGGCTGCTCCCAGTAGTCTACCCTACTTACTGCTCTCTTTGCAGCAGACAGACACCTGGAGCCTCAAACACTGGCCAGAACTCTCCGGAGTTGGCACGGCTGGGTGGTGGGAAATTGGGAGGAAGCAGTTAGCAGTTAGCCCAGAGAGTCACCCCCTTACATGCCTCAGATTCTGTTTCAGATCCTTCCAACTTCTCTTCTTTCTAGTTCCCTGAAAAGCTTTCCCTTACTTTGGGGCCATACCCAGGTGCCAGGCTCCATCCATACCCCTCCTCACTTTCTCAGGTCCCATTCCTGTTCCTCTCACTTTCTCCTCCTCTCTACACTCACTCTAGATGGCTCTCTATTTAGTCGTGGGCTCAGCCCAGCTAGGAGTTTTAGGGGTCACAGCCCCTCCCCACTCCCAGACTGTCTTCATTCCCCGTTCCTCGATCCCCCTCTCTCAGGCTGTCTGCCTTGACTGGCAATGAATGACACAGAGCAGCATTCCTTCTTACCTCCGCTCCTAACCCCCCCAAAAAGTATCCAGGATGCCGGCCTTCACTCACAGATATAGTAGTAAGTCTCTCCAGGCAGAAACTCAAAGCCAAGGGAGAAAGGTGTGAAGCGCTGAATCTTCTCTGAGAATCGGACAGGTCCAAAGGGAGCAAAGGGGCGGGTGCACTCCCAGCGCTTGAAGGCACCTGTACCTTCTGCCTGGCAGGCCTCATATCCAGGCCAGTCCACCATGTATAGAGCAAATGTCTCAGGGCCCTCAGGGGGCCCTGGCCCTTCATAGTGTGGGCAGAAGATGTCTAGGTAATCGTTGAGGCCCAGCTCCACCACAGCATCTCCTCGAAGCAGCCTGCGGGAATAAGGGAGACATGGGCTGAAAGGGATTGTGGCATAGCACCTCTGGGGCATGGGCGTCAGAAACACACCTTCTCAGAAGTTCCTGCTGTCTTTCCCCCACCCACCAGAGATGGAGCACTTCAGGAAAGGCTGAATTCCCCAGAAGATAACTTTTAAGAGACAAAGAGAACATAAGAAATGGATGAAGCGACCAATTCACAGATGAGCAAAATGGGGTTCTAAAAAGTTCAGGGATTGCAATGCTTATAAGCACATGGTTTAAATGGAAGGTCATTTGCCTCACACCATCTTTTGTGCCAGAGCTGCCACTCACCTCTGAAACCAGTGCTGGGTCAACATTAGGTGGATGGTGGCTGTGAAGGAGCCTGGGGCACAGAGGCAGTACAGAGGGGTACAGCACAGAGGCTCATCGGGAGTTAAAGACACTGAAACGGAGGTGGAGACTGGAAACAGTATCCGCAGAGATAGAAAAGATTGCCCTTTAGATCTTCATTCAATGGTGGGAAGAATGCATGGTTAAAAAAAAAAAAAAAAAGCAAGAGTGCATGCTGGGTGCTTTTAGGGCAAGACAAGCAAATTGCATGGAGGGGAGCCCCCTCCACACAGCACCCAGCCTTTAGCCTTCTCATGATTCCCCTCCCCATCTCTTGGGTGAGCGAATGCACATGGGAGGGGCTAGGACAGGTTGTCCACCCAGCACCAGATACTACTGCATGAAATCTCACCAAACATTACACAGCAAAGGTAAAATTTTGAAAGGCCTCAAATTGTCCCTAGATGGGTGGTTTGAAGACCACCTGCATCAGAGGATTTTGATTAGAAATGCAAACTCCTGGGTCCAGCCCAGACCTACTAGAACACAAGCTGGGCAAGGACAGGGCCTTTACATGTTTTGTTTCATTGCATCTCCAGTGACTGGAACAGTGCCCTGCACATGGACAGCATTCAGTAAAAAATTGTGAATTGAATGAATGAACCAGAAACATCCGGGTTGGGGGATTGGAAACTGAATATTTAACAAATTCTTCAAGTGATTCAGAGGCACTGGTCTGAAACAGAGAAGAATTGAGAGTTGAAGACAATAGCTCTTATCACAAGGCATTGTACTGATGTGTTTTTATATGTGCTCTCCAGGGTCTGTGGGCTCCCAGAGGGCAGAGTCTTGATCTTCTTGACTCCCCATCCCTATCACACTAGCACAGATTCTGGCACAAAGTACATCCTTCAATAAATGTTAGTGTACGAACAAATGAACATAGTCACAGATTGCCTCAAGCAGAAAATCAGAGCGGAAAACAGATGGAGAAAGCAGAGAAGCAGGGAGAATTGGGGAGGGGGATGGAAACAGTAAAAAATATAGAGGTTCAAAGACAGGCAGCTCAGAGAGAAACAAATAATAGTTGATATTTGTACAGCCCAGCACCTCTTCCACACACATGGCTTCGATTAGCCCGCCTGGCTTCCAGGGTAGTCTAGGGTAGTAAGTATTATTAGCCCAATTTACAGATGAGACAACCGAGGTTAAGAAGGTCAAATGACTTGCCCAAAGGTGATTCACTAGAAGGGGCAGGGCCGAGACTGGATGGAAATAGAAGCACAGATAAAGACACTGATGAAAGCAGACATATCAAATGAGATCGGGAGACTAAGAGAGTACCAGAGGGGAGGTCAAGTGAGCTGGAGAGAAGCTCACGTTCTTTCACAAGAATAAAGCCCCTTTCCTCACTCTAAGTCAGCTTGTCTCACCTCCGGCTGGAGGGAGGCTGGGGATCACCGGTAGAGAAGCAAGGGGGGCGGGGCCCAGAAGTGCGGCCTGAGGCCCCCCCAACTCCTGGCTTCCACACCCCACATTTCGCCCTCGGACTGGGGTCCTCCATCAGTCCCCCAACATCTGCGAGCGGGGGAGCCTCGGGGCGCGTCTCGCCCCTCCCCCCCTCCCCCGCCGGCTCAAACAAAGGAGTCCCGGCGCGCGGCCGGGCTCAGGCGGAGCCGCGCAAAGCGCGGGTGGCGGGTGCGCGCCTGACTCGGGTGCGCGCAGGCCCGGCTCGGCGTCCGTTCGGTTCGGCCCGGCTACCTGGGGTTACTGGAGTTCCAGTAGACGGCGTGGCGGAGACCAGAGCCCCCCCGCAGCGGGGAGCCGAGGAGCGCGGCCCAGAGGACAGTCCACAGCAGGGGCAGCAGCCGCATCGCCCCCAGGGTCCGGTTGCTCGGGTCCGGCCCGTCCTGGCCCGCTTCTCAGTCGGGGCCAGAAAGGTACAAAGTGGAGAGTAGGGGGGGGGGGCCTGCTGGGAGGGGGTGGGGTACGGAGACTCATAGGGTACGCCCCCGGTTAACTTTCCACCAATGGAAGCGCGTCTCCGCCCCTGCACTCAGCGCCAACTCCATGTTAACTCTCTGCGCGCCGCAGCACGCGCTAGTTGAGCCAAGCTAGTACAGAGGCCGGACATCACTGTGAGGGTAGGGTGCTATATTACACTCTCTAGGAATTTTATTTATTTTTTTGATGGAGGTCATGTCTTTCGTGTCTGGACTAATACACTTTAAGAACACTTTATTATAAGCTTGGAAGATTGTAAATAGGGCCAAGCTCCCTTACCCCAGACAGGAGAAAGGGAGGCCAGGTGAGGATCATGAAATCTATGCAGCCAGCCACCTGAACACATTACCCCTGTTTTGTTTTGTTCCCCCATCCCCTGCATCTGCCAGACTGGGGTTGCACTATTGGAAGGTACAAAGCACTTCCTGGGAAACTCCCCCCTTTACCTATAGAGCCTTAGGTGGCTCGCCCTATGCTACCTGAGGGTTAGCTCTTGTCCCCCTCCACCCCACACTTTCGTTCTGGGCAGCCCAAAGACAAGTAATGTGGTGGTTGCGGCCTTTTCAAAGCACCTTTGTTCTCGAGCCCTCGGGTACGGGCGGGGGACGGGGGGAGGAGGCAGGTGTGCGGTCTTGGGACCGTGGGAGCCGACGCCCCGCTCCGCCCCGGCTCCGGGGCTCTGAGAACGCTATCCAGATCCACCTCTCCTGATCGCTGGTCAGATGGTGGGGGCCCACCCGGGTCCGACAGTTTGGCTGATTTGTCAGTAACTGCCCCTGGCAGCCGCGCAGTGTTGAGGGTGAGGACTGGGTAACTGGGGGTGGTAAGGGGCGTACTACTTCTTGTGACATAGACTGGCGCAGAAAGTCATCCTTGACTGGGCAGAAACTAGCCGCCAGCATCTCCAGGACACGCAGTGACCTAGCCAGGGAGACTCCCTCCTCACTAACCCCGCCCGCCTTCATCTGAGGCAGCAGCGTCTCCTGGCGGTCAGACCTGGAACTGGAGCAGTGGTGACCTGGCCTTCACTGAACAGACAAGGCTTCCACGCATGCTTCCAAGATTTCACTTTAATTTCAGCAGAGCAGAGATAGGCAGTGCTCACTTCTCTCAGGCCTGTCCAGGCCCCAGCCCTCCTCAAGCCCCGCTGCAATGGTGTGGCAGGGTGCCGTTCGACAGTGTGTGGTGGTCTGATGTTTTAGACACATGCTGGACCACATTCGGGCTCCAGCTTTTTCAGTCCTGGCGGGGGCTCCAAAGGGCAAGCCCATCTTTTGAAGTCCTCCAAGTCCCGGTTGGAGGCTGCAGACCCTCTGGAGAGGTCAGAGGTAGAGTGAGGAGACTGCTGGGGGAGGCGGCGCTGGCCTGGAGTAGGGAAACCGAGAAAAGGGTCATAGAGTCTTTTTTCCCTGACCACTCAGCAGACCACCCATCTTCCGAGTCCTACCTGGAAGGTATCACCTGGGGTGGAATTCTAGTTCCTGGGCCAGCCAGGTTATCTGATGGGCGCTGATCCTGGGGGTCAGAAGGCAATAGCTTCCTCGGGGGTGGGGGCTTGACAGGCCCCTGAGACTGAGAGAGAAGGCAGGAAGCCGACTTGGGAGGGGGTGTCAGGTTGCTCACCCCCCCCGACACACTGGCGCGGGGGAACACCAGCTTGGGTGCGACACCCCCAAATCACCCTTATTTCCAAACAAACCTGTCACCATTAAAATTGCCACTGGGGTATGTGCCCTTGGGCACAGAGGGGGCATCTTGCCACAGCCACCACCGCCAAGGCTACCAGCAGCACAGCCCTAGGTGGGGGGAGGGGCCATGCCCATCTCTCTCCCCACTGTTACCTTCAGGCGCCTCACCACCGGGTCAGCGGGCAGAGGGCGCGTGGGGGGGTTGGGTCGGTCAGCCAGCTCGGCCTGAACAGAGAGAGGGGCAGTGGCAGTGAGAGCAGCCACGGCAGTGGGCATGCAAAAGTTACCCCAAGAGGTTCAGGTCAACATGCAAAGCCAGTCAATTAAAGGGCAGGAGAGGGCTTGGCTGTATGCCAAAAGATGCCTGGGGGGGGGGGGGGCAGGTCACCAGAGTCTCTGGCTGATTGCAGTCCTGCCAATGACCACCAGATGGTGGTAGAAACCAAGGTAGGAGGCTCATTCATTGCTGTTTCTAGGGCTGAGTGAGTACGGAGTGGGCACCCAGATCACCACATGAAGAGCCCTACTGGCAGGGCGAGGGGATGTGAATGGCCACTGAGCACCACACCTCCCACTTGCTCTTGGCCGGGACAGGCCTGGCCCCGATTTACCTGTAGTCTCTTGGGCACAGGGTCAGGTGGCAACGGCCTGGAAGGGGGGGCCGGGAAGCCCAGAGCACTAGTCTGCTGAGAGAGCAGGAGGAGCAGGCGGGCACAGAGTGGGGGGGAAGAGGGAGCAGAGAGACAGAGGTGGGCAGAGAGGAGTTAGTGCTCAGGGAGGGGTAGCCAGGAACCCAAGGACAGAAGGGGCTGTATGTGCCGTTATAGTTTCGTGCAGAAGGGGTGACAAGTGGGGTCTATCATGGGCATGCAGGTCATTCTCAGGCATGCAGGTCCTGCATCATAGCCAGAGAGCTCAGGGCAGGGGCACTCACATGGTGACCTGGGCCTCGAGCAGCTCCTGGCACACCACCCCCCTGTGCCCTCCAGGGGCCACTGCTGGGAGCACACATAGACCCACCTCTCAAAGCCATCAGCTTGGCTGGCTCAGAGAGCTCAGCAGACGCTCCTTTAGGCCACTGTCCCTCCCCTGCTGAAGGTGAAGGCTGGACTCAGCTTCTCCACCTGCAGCCCTCAGAGGAGGGGAAGGCTGGGCTGCATGGACTCATCTCTCTGACTAGTGGGCAGTGCTTTCAATGCCTCCCCCACACAAGGGCCCAAGCTGGATGCTAGGCCAAGCTAGTCCCTGTGTCCTCCGGCCTCCAGGACTCACCTTGGTGCCTGGCATCATCAGGGCCCTCTGTGGTGGTCCTGGACACTCCGGGGGACCAGACTGGGCTGCCCTAAGCATGGAGAAAGGTAAGGAGAGAGAGGGCCCAGACTCAGACCCTATTCTCCACCCCTATGTTAATTAACACTTTGCAGTCCCTTGGAGAAGAGCTTATTTGAGGCTTAGGCCAATTCTAGGGTAAGAAGGGGAAGCTGACCAGCTGAGGGAGAGTCCCACTGACCCAGCTCCACCGGCACAGCTGTCCACAGCGGTGCACCATGGAAGGTGAAGAGTTACAGGCTCACGTATAGGGAAGGGAAGTGTGTGGAGTATGGCAATCAGCAAATTTAGGGTCTAGGAGAACCAGTTTGTGGGGGGCAGCAAAGAGGATAGGGCATGGCTCCAGAGCTGGTGTCTCCAATAGAGGGATTTGGTAGCAAGGAGGCATGCTGGTACCTGTATTGGCAGCTAGGCCCCTTGAACTGGTAGAGTCGCTGGCGCAGGCGGGCACGGTGCCAGTAGCTGGCACCAAGCAGCACCAGAACCAGTAACAACAGGAGGCTGAGGAGCAGTCCTGTGGTCAGAGAGCTGGTTTCTGTGGGGGTGAGGTTAGGGTTGAAGGTGGGCAGGGTTACAAGGCTATAGAGATATATGATAGAGAAAGTTAAGGAGTCAGAGACCACATAGAGTTAGGGAACCAGAGACAAGGAAGTCAGAAAAATCGGGCCAAGGAAAAGGATGAGCTGTTTCCCCCTCCCAACAGTCCCTGATCCTCAGTGCTACCTCTAATCTGGGTGGTACAGTCAGGGGGTGCCCATCCCTCCTCACAGTGGCAGAATGCATTGGTGTCGCAGACCTAGGAGGGACAAGAAAAGCAATTAAGAGCTCTGCATCCCAGGACTGTGCTTCTTTGTCCCCAGCTTTTTCATGATCTGATTCCCACATTTGTATGGGGATGATGAGGAAGAGAAAATGAGATCAATTGGACACTTACTGAGCACCCTGTATCTGCTGGGAACTATACTAGAAGCTTTCATACTCATGAGTACCCCTGAAGCAAGTACTATCATTATGCCCATTTGACAGATGAATTCAGAGAGGTTAATAACTTGTCCTGGGTCAAACAGCTAGGAAGTAGTAAAGCAAGGAATTGTTGTAGTTGTTAAGTGCCATCGAATCGACTCTGACTTATAGCAACCCTGTATAGGGTTTCTGAGGAGCAGTTGTTGTATTTGAACAGCTGACCTTGTGGTTCACAGTCCGGTGCTTATCCTACAGTGCCACACCTCAGGAATGTCTCTTCCCAAAGCCTATCTTCCCTCTGCTCCCTAGAGGATCCCTGTCCCCTCCCCACCAGGCCAGCTCACCCCATGCCCATGGCATTTGCTTCGACATTCCTGTACCCCTAGGAGCTTCACAGGCTGGCATCGATGGTCAATGCACACCTGTCCAAATGGGAAGAAAAGAACACAGATCTCATTTTCACAAAGCCTTATTGGGACTGGAGGCTAACAAGGTTGAAGTCACACCCCACTCCCCCTTTACAAGTGGGCAAACCAAGACTCAGCTGGATGACAGGACCTGGCTCAGAAGTAAGAATCAGAACATCCTCAGATCCCGTGCCCTTTATACTGGTGATTAGAGAGGCTTGACCCTCCCTACCCAGGCTGCTTACCAGGTCAGGCCCACAGGCTGTGCCAGGCAGAGTCAGGATGGGCTGGGCCACATCGTTGCCCAGGTCCAGATGTACCCAACTGCAATTCAGCTGGGTCCCATTGGCTTCCAGCATCTCCCAGATCAGATTCTGGACTGAGCCCAGCAAAGGCTGGGCCATACCCCCCTGGCATTGGAGCTGCCCACAAATGGCATCTCTAGGAAGAGGGATAAAGAAAGGGTCAGTAGGATGGGGCCAAGGGTTCCCACAAACCCAGAGGAGGAACCAGTTTTCCTTACTCACCTAGGGGTGCAGGCCACATAACTGCCGTGGGGGTTGCGCCCACAGCTCCCAAAGACATTCCCCCGAGTGTTAGCAGTTTGCAGGCAAAGGGGTGAGGCAGGCTGAGCCCCAGGTCCCCAGAGTGCCTGGCATTGCTGGGCATAGGAGGCACAGTGCCCCTGCAGACATATGGCCTGCCCACCAGCACAGGGCTCACCATCCCCCAGGCTGACGTCAGGGGGGCACTGGGAGCTGTTTCCTGGGCAGAACTCAGGCAAGTCACAGTCACCTCTGCTAGGGCGGCACTGCCAGCCAGCTGGGAGTAGCTGTGGAGGGTGGGCAAGCATCAGTATGGGCGCTGGGCAAAGCCAACCAGGCCCTGGGGGCCAAAATAATCCTTCCCATCATTGCCCGTAGTAGGAGAGCTCTGGGTGGCTGATTCAGTCTGTGTCTACCTGGCAGTTTTGACAACAGGGCCCATCAGATGCACACTGTGCCCCTGGCCTCAGCTGGCAGGTGAAGTAATCACAGCAGGGGTCACTGCAGTCCTGTGGACAAGAGCATTGAGGAGGCTGGGGCTGATGGCCAACCCCTGCTCCCAGACAAGACCCAACGCAGCAAGCGAGAGCTGGAGCCCCACCCTCCGTGTGCTCTCCGTGTAGACTGGGAAGTTGAGAGAGACTTGGGAGGTGCCTTCCAGATGCAGAGAGGGCACAGGCTCAGGGAGCTGGGAAAGTAGCTGAGAGAGTAATAAGTGGGACAAGGCTTTGGGTGAGGGGGCTTACATCCGGGAAGCCACAGTCACACTGCTCGCCAGGCTCCACAAACATGTTTCCACAAAAAGATTCTGTAGGGAACAGGCTGGGTGGCCGTTCAAAGAGGCAACTGCCCAGGCCATCCAGGAGTGCTTTCTCCAGGGCCTGTCGGCTACAGTTGCTGAAGTTCAGGCCTGGTAGGAAGCTGGAAAGAGCAGCAGGTAAGGAGGGTTGGGATGTGGACCTCTCGCTGCCTGTTGCCCCATTTCCTCCCTACATCCCCATTACTCACTCAGTGGAGGCCTCCATGATGCAGCTTTTGGCTGGAGCTAGACAGGGGCAGCTGCTTCCAGGTGGGTGGTGGTCCAGGCCCAGACTGTGGCCCAATTCATGGGCTATTGAGGAGGCAATGCCCAGAATGCTCGTGGAGTGGTCCTGTCATTGGTGAGAGGACACCCCAGGTCCAACTCTAGCCTGCCTCCACCATAACGTCCAGCTTATCTTGACAGTTCCTGTTCTGGCTTCATCTAACTTGGGCACACAGCTGGCACTGCCTGCCTCCTTAATTGCTTCTGAAGTCAGAGGAGAGCCCAGGCTTGGGTGGCAGGAAATCTAGGTTCCAGCCAGTTCTGCCCTCTGCGTTCACTATGTGTTCCTGGGAGGTCTCTCTGCTTGGGGTCTCTGCGGCTCCTCTCCCTTACCCCAAGCAGTGGGCAGGCCTGATAGGTGATGGCTAGCTGTGTGTGGACACTGTAATGAGCTGGCTACCATGAGGGTTCCCTGGCAGTAAGGGCCACATCATGCACCCTCGTCCCTACACTCACAGCTTTGGGGTGGGTTACTTTGTAGTGGGGCTGCAGTGGTGAACTGAATTGGGAATGGGGAGGAAACTTGCAAATACCTCACCATGTTCACACCTCCTGAGAAGTCAGGAGAGCAGATGGAGTTCTGAATGGCCATGCCCACCATGGGCCCAGAGAATGAAGTAGCACTGTGGGATCAAGAAGTCAAAGGTCAGGACCCGAAGAGCTTTAGGGTCTTAGGTGAGGTGCTGAAGGAGTGTGAAGTTGGCCAGGGCAGGGTAAACAGACAGATGGCTGAGCCTGGGGGGGTCTTACGTCACCAGCTGGGCACTGTCATGTGGTAATCGAGGCAGCAAATCTGCCCGGCGCCAATGGAGGAAGTTGTTTAGTGTCACACTTGGGTTTGAGCTTATCTCCACAAGGTCCCTCTGTGTCCAGGCCTCCAGGCCCACTAGTGCCACCCGTACATTCAGGGGCCGGAAGAACTGAAAGAGAGCTAGGGCTCAGGAGAGGGATTCTCGTGGTCAGGGGACCATAGAGAGGCTGCGCAGCCTGGCCACTCACTGTGTCTAGGAGCAGGGCCACTTCTAGTGTGCGATTCAGCAGTCGCTGGAAGTCCGGGTACCTCTGGACCTGTGGGCCAAGAGAAGTCACCATGAAAAGCGCCAGGGCTGGTGGGCGGTGAAGAAGGACATGCCGGGTCAGTAGACTCACCTCTGAATGGTCAGCTACAATCACCAGCTCAACAATTTTGGCTTCTGTCACCACATCCCGCCTCCGCTGTGGACAAGGAGGAGAAGGAGCATCAGGCTCACCCCACTACTCACTGCCAGCAGCTGCATGGGGCTGACCAAGCTGTGTCCACTCCCACCCTGGGTGGTCAAACAGAAGCGGGCAAAAATCCCATTTTATAGATGAACCACTGGGAACCAGAAAAGTCAGGGACTTGACAATGGGTGGGCCAAGAAGTTGGTTATAAAGCTGGGAGTAAAACTCAACTTTCTAGTTCCAAACACAGTACTTTCTCCAAATTTCAAAAAAAAAAAAAAAAAAAAAAATAAGCACACTATTGAGTACATTGAAGTCCCTAGATGGAACCAATGACTAGAGCAGTTGGCTGTTAACTGGAATGCTGGAGATTTGAGCCCACCTAGAGGCACCTCAGAAGAAAAGCTTGACAATTTACTTCCAAAAAAATCCATCATCGAAAATGTTATGGAACAGAGTTCTACTGTGACACACATGTGGTCAACATAAGTCAGAACTGAACTGACAGCAGCTGGGTTATCTAATGCTTACTGTATGCCAGATACATGTCTAAGCATTTTAGATAGATAGGTAGATAGATAGATAGATAGATAGATAGATAGATAGATAGATAGATAAATATATAGATAGTAGATAGATTAATTTAATCTTCACAAAAGATAAAAGTAAGTATAAAGTAAGTAGTCTTTTTGTTCTATTTTAATCTCCATTTTACAAATTGGGAAACTGATTTTTTATAGCCTCAAGATTTGTAACTATGTATTTCCATACCAAAGTCAGAGCTCTATGCAAATGGCATCATAAATCTGATGAAGAATTTGAATCAAATAGGATAGTATCTATAGGCCTACAAGGAAGACTAGTTAATACAACTTTTCAAACTTATGCCTCAACTATCAAAGCCAAAGATGAAGAAATTGAAGAATTCTGCCAACTTCTTCAATTTGAAACTGATCAAACATGCAATCAAGATGCATTGATCATTACTAGATATTGGAATAATAGTGGTATTAATCGGTATTCCTTGTAGATGTATGGATATTATCCTATCACAGACAGCATTATATTACAAGATAGATTTTGAAATGTTCTTTTTGATGATGAATGCAACGCCATTCCTCTCATCGTCATGCTAGCATAGTAAACCAACGTCTTCAGTCTGAAACTGATCAAACATGCAATCAAGATGTGTTGATAATTACTGGAGATTGGAATGCAAAGTTTGGCAACAAAGAAGGATCAGTAGTTGGAAAATATGGCTTTGGTGACAGAAATGATGCTGGAGATCACATGATAGAATTTTGCAAGACCAATGACTTCTTCATTACATACACCTTTTTTAAACAAAATAAAAGATGAACCTCATCTGAAGGAAAACACAGAAATCAAATTGACTACATCTGTGCAAAGAGAGGGTGGGAAAGAGCCGTATCATCAGTCAAAACATGGCCAAGGGCAGACTGTAGAAAAGACCATTGAGTGCTTATATGCAAGTGCAAGCTGAAGCTGAAGAAAATTAAAACAAGATCATGAGAGCCAAATATGACCCTGATCATATCCCAACTGAATTTAGAGATCATCTCAAGAACAGATTTGATGCATTAGACACTAAAAACTGAAGACCATAAGAGTTGTGGATGGAATAACATTAAGAAGGTCTTACAGGAAGAAAGCAAAAGGTCACTAAGAAGACAAGAAATAAGAAAAAAAAAAAAAAATTGATCAGAAGAGACTCTGAAACTTGAGTTCTAACATAGAGATACTAAAGCAAATGGAAGAAATGAAGAGGTAAAAGAGCTGAGCAGAAAAATTCAAAGGGCAGCTTGAGAAGACAAAGTCAAATATTGTAATGAAATGTGCAAAGATCTGGAGTTAGAAAACCAAAAGGGAAGAATATGCTCAACATTTCTCAAGCTGAAAGAAGTGAGGGAAAAAGTCAAGCCTCAACTTGAAATACTGAAGGATTCTTTTGGCAAAATACTGATTGATGTAGAAAGCATCAAAAGAAGATGGAAGGAATACAGAGTCACTGTACCAAAGAGAAATAGTCAATGTTCAACCATTTCAAGAGGTACCATATGATCAAGAGCCAATGGGAATACAGGGAGGCGGGGTTGATGGTGGATAGGGTAGAGGTGCAATGAAGATCTCCATCAGCAATAACACAGAATACTAGGCAAACTGCATCTAGGGGAGAGCTCCAAAACTCTGAACCACATATGTAGGAATATTTTAAAAGTTTGAAAGCTTATAGCTAGTGGAACTTGTAGCAGAAGCAAGAAATCTTGGACTTTCAAATCTGCCGGGCTCAGTGGCCCAGAGCTGACAACTTGGGTGAGACCAAACGGTAAGGCCAAGCCAGGAAGCAAGCAGACCCGCCACGGACTAAGGCCTGCAGGAACCATGGAGACAAAGGTGGACAATATCCTTTGTTTTGTTTTGATTCTGATTTTTTAAGGTATCTGTTCATTGGCCCCTCACTGTCTACGCACCTCCATTCTGGTGACTAGAGGGGGTGCCTGAGTGAGTGGACACCCCCACCCCCACCACTGGAGGGTTCTTCTACCACACATGTGCACAAATCCTCTCAGTGTTTAAAGGGCCAGTCCCTGCTTAAGACCACTGGCAGCGCAAAATGGCCACAGCTGGTGGCCCTGAACTGTTTATTGATATAGGGAAAAGGCCAGAACAAGGGTTGTGGAGTGGGAGAGAGTCTAAAAACAAAATAGGCAAAAACTAAACCCTGAGGTACAGCATAAAAACCAACAGTGGCATCTTGAAATTTATCAGGTGGCCTTGAAAGCAGAATGCTGAAGGAGGATATTAAAGTCATACTCATATTAGGCCACAGATTTTTTTTTCCTTCTCTCTCTCCTCTCTCCTTTTTACGATTATAGACTACAGTATCCAATCTGGTTTCGTTTTTTTTTTTTTTTTTTTTTTTTTGGGGGGGGGGTGGTTTGCTGTTACTGTTTTGTCATTTTTGGTTCCCCCTTTTACCTTTGTCTCCCTATATTACCCAAGAAGGGACAGCAATTGCTGCCATATAGTCAAGCTACAATCACACCATATAAAACCCCACAATCCAGGCAAGAACCAATACCAACTGCCATACACCAGGGAGGCAGAAAACACCTGCAAAAGTTACTCTGAGTTGAGCAATAAGAAGAGTGAAAAGGGAAGCCCACCTCCTGATTACATCTACCTGGAGGCAATCAGAAAGCATTAAAAAATAACAAAACACACACTCAATTAAGTATTAAAGCCACAGCCAACCACTGAACATGTCCAAGAAGCAAAAATGGATGATCATATCAGCACATGTCCAGAAACAAAATAAAATGTCTGAGACAAATGACCTAGAGGTAGACCTAGACTCTATTCTGGAAAGAGGGCTGGCCTTGGAAATACCTGAGAAGGAATTCAGAAAAAATGATTATAAAATGTTTCAAAACACTTTACAATGGAATTGAGAAAAATAAGGAAGAAGTCAGGAAAGCGCTACAGGAACAATCAAATAAAATAGATACGGCATTGGAAACAATTCAAAACCTACAGAAAGAGGTCCGAACGGTTAATAATAGAATATCAGAAATAGACAATACACTGAAAGTGCAAAGGAGTAGAATTCAAGAGATGGAAGACATAACTAGTGAGCTGGAAGTCAAATCTCTCAATACTACTAAAATATAAGAGCAAGCAGAAAAAAGGATAAAAAAATCTGAAGACGGTCTAAGATTCATGTTAGACAATATGAAGAGGAATAACTTAAGAATTATCAGCATTCCAGAACAGGAAGAATCACACAAGTCTACAGAGGAGATAGTTGAAGAGCTGCTGGAAGAAAATTTCTCTAACATCCTGAAAAGTGAAAAGATAATCAAGAAGCTCAACGAACCCCAGGAAGGATAGACCTGAAAAGAAAATCACCAAGACATAATCAAGCTGTCCAAAATCAAAGATAAGGAGGCAATCCTGAAAGTAGCTAGGGAAAAGAGAAGCGTTACATACAAAGGCAAGCAAGTAAAATTAAGCTTGGATCTCTCAGCAGAAATCATGCAGGCAAGAAGGCAATGAGGAAACATATATAGAACCCTGAAAGAAAAAACTGTCAACCAAGAATCCTTTATCCAGCAAAGCTATCAATCAAATACGACGGTATAATCAAAACATCCTAAAGGGAGAACCAACAAGAACAGACAACAACCAGAGATTGACATATGTGGCAGCACCTCCCAGAACTCAATCGACAAATGGAAGAGTCAAGAACAGAACAGAACTATAAGAACAAACTCAGAGGATCTGGGAGGTCAGTCTATGATCAAAACAATTACAATGTGAAAGGATCTCACAGAGATCCAGGTGGTGAGAAGGTCAGGGTAGATTATAGGATAAAATGGACTGCACTATATGGAGGGAAAAGTTAATGGAATATAAGATAACCTAAAGAAAATTAACACTTCACAATATACCAAGGAAATGAAAATCCAAGAAGACCATGGAAACATTAAAACTATGAGGAAACTGACAAGAAAGAACACAAAAACCATGAACTCAGCACAGGAAGACACACAGAACAAAGAAAGCAGCAGCACTACAAAAAACAAACAAACATACTGGCAGCAATTAATCCATACCTATCAGTAATTACACTGAATGTAAATGGATTAAATGTACCAGTTAAGAAACGGAGGGTGACAGAATGGATAAGAAAACAAGACCCTTCAATATGCTGTCTGCAAGAGATACATCTTACACAAAGAGACAAAAACAGATTAAAAGTCAAAGGATGGAAAAAAATATACCAAGCTAATCGCAATAAAAAAATGAAGAGGAGTGGCAATACTAATCTTTAATAAAATAAACTTTAGGGCAAAAACCAACATAATAAATAAAGATGGACATTATCTCATGATTAAAGGGAAAATTGAACAAGATGGCATAACCGTAATAAATATCTATGCACCCAGTGAAAGAGCTGCAAAATACATAAAGCAAACTCTAATCGATAG